CGAGGCCAATGCTAACTATCTAACACTGGGAGCTATCCAATTATTATCCATACAACATGGACTTATAGTATAACAATTTATTGACTAAGGTGAACTCCTACCTATTTCATTTCTCAATTATGCCAATATGTTACACAATTTCAATCACATAACATAATGCAATTCCACATGCCAAGTAATCACAATTTCGAATCAACATGCTCAATTTCATCCACATATGCATAATTGATATCCTCAAAGTTCTCAAAAGATTTTCATAATTTGCAATAAAGTATAGTTTACTCGATTCACCCACATATTTCAACAAATTAACATACGCTCACTTTACACATATTCTAAAACATCAAAATTGCATGTTCACATGTAACATGCATTTCATAATTTTTATAATACCATAAACATTTAAAACATGCATATGAGAGAATTTAAATTCTCAGTTACATCCACCCCTTGAATTACTCAAAAGGGGCACTCATGGACTGAATCCAATTCCAAGCTACTAAATGCTCCTTACTCAAAAGAGTTTATTCTACAATTAGACAACTCAAAAATATTAACACAATGCTAATTTTGTCACTTTCCCAACCATCCATTTTTACTCAAAAAATTCCAAATTTTAATTTATTAGATAACCTTGCTATCTATTCCTTTAGATTCATTAGACTCAAATGAGCCTAACTAAACCCATTAACCACTAACATAATCCTTACATGCTTTCACTTGACTGATTTAATTCATTATCTTGATAAAGAAGTTTTAGAAACTTGCTTTAACTTTTGTCTTCTAAATTAGTTTTCATTCTTTCATATGCTGGACTTTGAAATCTTGGTTTGATTCTTTGTTCCAATGTTTTGATAAAGCTTTGCAACTAAAATACTTGAGCTTTGCTCACTTGTTCTTTGTTAAACTTCTTGTTGGACCTTCAAATTATGCTTAACTAAGTGAAAAGTTTTCTTCCGTTGAAATTTTTTTAAATACCTAATTCACCCCCTCTTAGGTGTTATTGCTTGATTTTACATTTTTTTAAAAAATATTCCTAAGTTTTAAAATATAAACTACCTCTACTTCATTATTAAATGCTCATCTTTTACAAATACCCCTAATTAAATTTTGGTGGTCAACAAGCAATGAGAAAGAGTACTCCCTCCATCCCCAATTATAAAATATTTTTGGACGAAATCTTACACACTAATAAACCTAATCAAATACACTTAACAACATTATTTTTTTAAAATAAAAAAATAAACTTCAAAAAATATTCTTCATTTAATATATTGAAAAGAGAGAGGAACACAAATTAAATAGAGAGAGAGAGAGAGTAATATTGGAATAATCCTATTTAATGAAATCTTAATTTTTTTTCAAAGTATCTTATATTTTAAGATAAAGGGAGTAGTAAAAAAAATAATTAAACTTTGATTCATTAATTGTCAAGTTCAAACTTGAAAAGGCAATCAATTGGGAACATATTTAATGAAAAATATTGTTAACTACAGTAATTTTCTTAACATGTGCAGGTAAGTAAATGCAAACTCATATTTAGGACTAGAAAGTATTCAATGAAATATAATAATGACACCTTACGAGCTCACTTTTTTTAAAAAAAATTATATAAACTTGGGAAAATTTCATCGATGATCCCTTGATCCAACTTAATTTTAGTCAAATTAAACTCCTAAAATTTTGAAATTTTATTATACATGTGGGGACTACAGTGAAATTAAAAAGTGGATTGAAATGACCTTAGTGTCCTTGATGAAATTGAAAAAAACATGAACAACTAATGTAGATAGAATTTATAACTCATGTCAACAACATAACAATGCCACTATGAATTTGCAATTCACATTCCACCTATATCAGTTGTTCATTTTTCTTGTCGGAGTTATTCATATGCCTAACTTTACTTGTTTATACTCATAGTGATGTTATGCTGTTAATGAGAGAATTTTATCTATGTCAGCTATTCATTTTCTATACGTCACTTGTTCATCCTCTATACATTAGTTGTTTATTTCACCAAGGATAATAATGTCATTTCAATCAACTCTTTAATTTCATTTCTATGCCCCAAATGGACAGTGAAATTTTAAAATTTTAGGGGCTTTGATTCAAATGTAGTTGGGTCAAGGGGTCCTCATTGAAATTTTTCCTATAAACTTTCAAAAATATCCCAACTTACTTAATCATTATACTACAATATGATTTTAACTCTCTCTTCACTTAAAAGGTAATATTACAAAAGTATAATTAATGAAAATTTAATTTTTTTAAATTATCTTATATTTTGGAACAATGAAATTTCTCCAAAGTTGTCTGTTAATATGGGACAAAGAGACTAGTATTTAAATTTTTGTAGGCTTGTTGGTTGTAGCTTTACATATTATGATATTAATCTACAGATAAAACCCTAAATTCTAGTCCTCCAACTGACCAGGGTACAATAACTAAAATTTTTCAGAGAAACGATTAGCAGTCTGAATGAAATTTGACTATATGTCAATGTCTAAAGCAAAAGAAGTACTCTCTCTCTCAAAAAATGTAAAATATTTTTAATTAAATATCATATTTTAATAAATTAATCTCCTAACTAAAACCATCTTTCCATATTTTTTGATAAGGTGTTTCACTTAAAAATAGGTATAAAATAATTATTTATTAAGGTCATTTGTCTTTGAAAAAAAGGTATTAATCACGTCTTCAAATACTAAAAATATTTTATATTTTTTAATATCCAAACCTTCAACAAATGTCTTTACATTTTTTAATAGAGTGAGTAATTAAATATTTTAGCAACCAGCTGACCATGTATCGTTTAATTGAAAAAATGCCAATAGTTTAAATGTAATTACAATAATTGGACGAATTTCGCATTAAAGTAAATGCCATGTTTGTCAATACACAAGCAATATAATTAAATAATTCAGGCTCTCCTGCAAACAAGAAATTGCCAAAAGAAGATCCCTTCAATCATAAGTCATAACTTACGTTTTTTGGACAAAAAAGTGAAAACTTTCATTATAAGAGGTTCTCAAATAAATATAAAATATTAAATAGTAAACTTTGAGGAGTCAATTATTAAAACAACAATGATAAAAGAAAGGGAAAGAAAAGAAAATTCAAATGAACGACAAAAAACTTATGAATTTTTAACCTCAACAATATTCAAAATGAGACTTTTCACGTGGACTTAAATGCTAAATCCACTATTTATCCTTGAATAATCTAACACCTCATTTTTAAAATTAATTTAAAAAAACCAACGTATATTTTATTATATTTCTCATTTTTAATTTATAAACAACTATGGTCGCATGATGGTTATGCTTTTGCTTTCATTCCAAGAAATAACGACAGATGCCTAAAACCCCACACACACACACAACGACAGATGTCTAAAACCACACACACACACACACACACCCACCCTCAAGGCGCCTGCAACAGACATTTTTATCATGCATGCGTAGTGCCTGCGCAACCAACCACAACCCCTATTCAAACCGGATCTCTCTCCCCCTCTCCCCCCCCCCCCCCCCCCCCTCTCTCTCTCTCGGTGTCTCACTCCTTCACCTCGCCCCCCCCCACCCACTCAGTTTTTTAACGTTCCTACTGCCAATTAACTCTATTATATTATTAATAGAATTTACCATATCAAATTAATAAAATACATATGGTATGAGAAAAATTATTTTATTAACTTTTTAACGAAATTTAAGGGGGAAAAATTATAATTTTTACTTTTAACTTTCATATAATTTTTACTTTTAACACACATGACCATGCTCCCCCTTTTTTTTTAGTTGCATGACATTATTCACATTGTTCCCTGCTAACACAATTTAAGAGGAAAAACTATAATTTTATTATTCTTTATCAATTAAAACAACCTTTGGCAAGATAAATGACATTTTAATCATTATGAAAAAGAATATAATTTTTATACATTTATTATTTTCTTACATAAGATATCACGTAAGCTTCTATATATGTGGCTTTTCTTAATCTTAAACTTTGTTAATAACATAGCAGAATAATTAATGAGAAGGGGCCTTGAAAACAAAACTAAAGGTCAGAGGATTAATTTTAAACTAATGTTTTGAAACCCAAACTGAATGTTGAACCGAAAAAAAAGCAACGGGTTGCTGTTTTCATAGTTCAATCAGTTAGACTAACAGTTGTACCATTGACATAAAAATTAAATAAAAATAATATTTATATACACAAATATATAAATAAAATATTAATTTGTCGATAGTGTTTGAGATCTCAACACCAAAGCCTAGATGCCTCGACTGCTAGAGTTGGATGTAGAGGCATGTTAACATGAGCTTGTGATCTTGAAGTAAAATATTAGAGCTAGAGGCACACCATCATGTCACAACTCATGAGCTTTCGATCTTAATACTAAAGGCTGGATCATTAGAGTTGGAGGTAGAGGTTGAAAGAAAGATTTAAACATTTAAAGGTAAAAAGGTTATATGCAATTGTCTTAAAATTTAGAGAATTTTATACATTTTAGCCATGTTTTTATTATAAGTCAATTTCAACAATTTCACCAAAATTAAGAAAAGGAAGTTAATTCATTAAATTTATTTTAAAATTAAATAGTTTTTCAACGTTGTTGTTAAAGAAAGATTCAATGAGCTATATAAAAATATTAAATTAAAATTAAACTCTCTTTTTACTAAATTATTAGGAGCAAAATTGAAATATGTTAGTTAACAATTCTTAATTTGACTTATATTAATTACGAATCTACCATAGTTATGGTGAGGCAGTTAAAATGGATTATACCCTTCGAAAGAAATAAAATAATACAATGATAGAGAGACTTCAGGACGACGACAATGCAATGATAGAAATAGCTTACTTTCTTCCTTGACTTTATTAATCTCTTGATTATGATATATCTCCAATTCTATCGGATATATATTAAGGGTTGAAACTGTAAAGGCAATAATCAGAAGCAACATCTTTAAGTTGAAGCACTACCAAAAATGAGTCTGCAAGTTGAACTAGTGTCTCAAGAGATGGTGAAACCATCATCTCCTACACCTCAACATCTTTGTCATTACCATCTCTCCTTCCTCGACCAGTATAGCCTGCAAATCCACAATACCATGGTTTACTTCTTCGACGATGATATCACAAGCAGGTTCAACATCATCAAAGAAGCTTCCGATCTTCTCAAGAAATCGTTGTCCCAAGTCTTGACTCACTATTACCCACTCGCCGGAAGACTTAGAATCAAGAACTTACTCGTCGACAGCAACGACGACGGTGTTCCTTACAAAGAAGCCAGAGTCAGGTGCCGCCTCCGCCACGTCATCGACAGTCACTCTCCTGATGACGTCAGCCAGCTGCTTCCCTACGACATGAATGAAATCGTCGACGCCGTCCTAGGTGTGCAGTTCAACGCCTTCGATTGCGGCGGAATAGCCATCGGAGTTTGCCTCTCCCACAAGATTGCCGACGCTATGTCGTTTTTCCAGTTCATCAAGAGCTGGGCCGCTGTGACACGTGGCGAACCGCCAGAGCAAATCAGAACCCACTTCCAATCTTCCTCGCTCTTCCCGCCAAAAGAAGTGTTCGGATACGTCCCGAATTTATACATCGGACAGACAAAAATCATGGGAAAGATGTTCGTGTTCGAATCATCCGCAATAGAATCTCTCAGAACAAAATATTCCCAAAAGATAGAGAACGTTCTAGAAGGCCAAAAACCACCTTCAAGAGTCGAAGTGTTACAAACTTTCCTATTGAACAGGTTAATTGCGGCCACTAATAACGAAGACGAAGGTCGCAACAAGATTCACTTACTGACATACGCAGTGAATCTACGACCAAGAATGGAGCCTCCATTGCCAAAATATGCGTTCGGAAACTATTACTGGTCTATTGAAGCTTTTCCTATATTAATGGAGGAAGGAGAGTGTAAGGATCTTGGGAGACAGCTAAGAGAAGAGTTAAAAATTGTGAATAAGAATTTTATTGTGAAGCTTCGAGAAAGCAAGGAATGGAAGTTTAATAAAGAAGAGATGGACAGAGAGATTGCGAAGGGAGAAATGGTTCTGTTTATTTTCACGTCTCTGTGCAGGTTTCCGGTGTACGATGTTGATTTTGGATGGGGCAATCCGACGTGGGCATCACCACCTACGTGGAAATTCAAGAATTTTGTTACTTTAAAAGACACCAAATCAGGTGGTGGCATTGAAGTTTACGTCAACTTGGCAGAGGATGACATGGCTAAATTTGAACGTGATGAGGAACTTCTTGCTCATGTTTCTACAGAAAGATTGAAATAAGAGAAAAATTGGCTAAAATGAAGAAAAAAACTGAAATATTTGGATATAAGTCTCAAATACAGAGATAAAGCTTGCAAGAAATCATGGTTCTTAAGGGTTAGTATGTTTTTCAGTGAAAATATCAAAGTACTCTTCCTTTTGTTGCATATGTTAATGAAAATTCATGCAGAAAAAAGGAACGGGTATTTTATTATTTTCTTTCAAAATATATTTTCACTCCAAAATCATGATCCCTTCCGGGCTTTATGTTTTAGATAGGGACTTATACTCAAATATTTGAGTTGTAACCAACTTTCCCTGAAAAATGTTATAATTTTGGGGTTTTTAATTTCGACGATTTAACCTGAAACAATGTTATAATTTACTTTGTACGGGTGTTTATTTTGTTTGTAACACGCCCAGAGTTCTTATTGACAGCTTTTCTGTCAATTGACTGCCTCTGAAAGTTATGGGTTGGTTTGTTGTACAATGAATAAAAAAAAGGTCGACTTTTAATTTCTCTTTTAAGAAAGTGTTTTAAAAGGTTTAGCAACTTGTTGATTAGATTACAAGTCATATCTTAACAAAGTAAAGACACATTATAATTAAGCTAAGTGGTTAAAGTTATTTGCCAATCACAAGCTTTATAAGATAAATTAAAGCATTGAAGAAAATGGTCGGAAACTTTGGATTTTTCAACTTTTATGATTTACCAGAGCCCTCTCATCCTTCGTTAGCCTTGATGCATCTTTAATGATAGTGGGTCATAAACTATTAAAATAATCCTTGAAATTTTCATTTGTTTTCCTCTTTAATTCATTTCTCCGTACTTTTCCAAATTAAACCTAATAAATGGTAATGTTCTTAAAAGATTTGAAAAATCAGGTTTTTCAGCAATACGTCATCAGGTTTGTCAACCTATACACCATCAATACATCCCACTCAAATTAACCAATCAAGATCGTAACCACTACAAGCAGTGATCACAACTATCATGCCAAAATCATAATATCGTATACACTTCAAAGCACTAAACACAAGTGAGACATGGACGCCCATTTGGCATCGAAAATCAAAGGAAAACAAGTGAAGAACCTGAACTCAATGAGGATGGCATTGAAAATGGAGGAGAGATCATACACAAGTGAAAACACAAACTAAGACTTGGACTTGGTTTTGGATAGAGAGAAAATCGGGGAAAAATAGAGAGGAGAGAAAACATAGGAAGAAAAATTTAAAAAAAAAGTAATATAATTTATTTATTTATTTTTTTACAATTTTTAAGAGTTTTCCTTTTAGTTTTCTTTACTCCCTACTTTTCTTTCCATCTAAATGAAAGGTAAAGATCTAAACTACATCAATGCTAAACTTAAACCAAATCTTTCATTTAGATCCACAAAAATCCATATGGATTTGGACTTGATTAATCAATGAATATTTGGTTTATAATTTCTTTTTTTTTAATACAAGGCCACAGTAAAAATACCATGCAAAAGGACCAAAATCAAGTCACATCAGAAGTCATAGTATTTCTACAATCTATGGGAGCATCATCAAGTAAAGTAGTATCAAAATAGTCGTTAGAGGCCTTGTGAGCTAGAAGATCGGTACAACGATTTGCTTCTTTATAGAAGTATTCCAAGGTAACCTCTTAGTTCCTCATGATGAGATTTATGATGCTTTTAATGATTGCTGAGAGTGGATGGCTCTAAACTAAGTTGCCATTAATGAGGGATATGACCTCCATTGAATCAGTATAAAAATTAATGTTAGGAATCATAGCATTCCAATAGATGTTTAGGCCTTCTAGAATCTTGATAAGCTCAGCAGCTATGATGTGTTGGTAACCAAGGTTTTTAGTGAATCCTTTGATTCAGTTACTCTTGTCATCCCTGATAAGACCTGCACAAACCGTGGGACCATTACATTTGACTGAACTATCAACATCAAGTCTCAGCTACCCAAGATTCAGAGGCTTTGAACTCGCTTCATGTCTAGTATCAAAATTACTCAGATGATCAAGCTTAGATTGAAGTTGCAGGTCATTTATAATTTGTTAGGTGCTTGAGAAGGCAGTGTCTTTGTCCATAGTATCATCTTTAGAGTAAGCTTCCTTGCATCTTACTTTCCAAATGTTCTTGTAGGTTTGGGTAAAAAAATTTCTTCTAGGACAATCCTCTAGCATATCTGCTTCTTACTCCATTATTAACATTCCAAACTATCCAGTCCTGCACAGGAAGAGAGAAAAAGGTATTATATTTAGAAGGGTTAACTAATTTTTTCCAAACCTCTTTAGCATCTTTACAATCTCATAAGATATGAATAGAAGAGTCAGGAGAGTTACAACCCAATTGGCAAGTATAATGCTGTATAGTATCTCCATTAGAGAGCATGACATTTATTTGTAAACAATCCCAAGATGCTTTTTAAAGGAAGTACTTAATCTTTTCATAAGTAGGCCATTTCCAGATTTTGGACCAAATATCGTTAGATTCCTGAGCCTACCAATTTTCCATAGCTTTATAGGTAGATTTAATAGAAAAGTTACCATCTGAAGAGGGTCTCCAAATAAGAATGTCATCTTTGCCCTAAGTTTTAGGAGGTTGTACAAGAGCAATTTGTTTAATAATATTTAGGTAGAGGTATCTTCTTATAAGATCTAAATTCCAACCTCTGTTGGGCTTGCAGAAATTTGAGACTCTTGCATGAAGAATAGAATCGGCATCATGAAAGGCATGTTTTACAAGAGGATTAGGCAGGGAGGTCTATCTATCATACCAAAAGGATATTTTATCTCCTTTACAAACTTTCCAGCCAATTAAAGACATGAATGTGTCCCAGATTTTGAAAATGCTACTCTAGGTATAAGAGCAGGAATTATGTTTAACAACCATATGGATAATCAGTTTGCTATAGTTATATTTATCTTGTTGGACCCGCGCCCAAAGATAATTTGTTTTAGTAAGGATGCCTTAACAAAGCTTTATGATAAAGGAAATATTTTGGCTTTTGAGATTTCTAAGGCCAAGACCGCCAACCTTTTTTTTTTAGAAGTGACACAATCCCAGGAGAGAAGGTGCAATTTTTTTCTCCCATCAGAAGAATCCCAAAGGAAATTTTTAGAAATTTTATCCAATTCTACTAACACATTGTCAGGTAAAAGCATAGCTTGCGTGGTGTAGATGGAAGAGTCGAAAGAATAGATTTTATGAGAACAAATTTTCCTACTATGTTGAGATATCAACTTCTCCAATTTACCAAGTGAGAGTTTGTCTTCTTAATTAAAAGCACAAAGGTGAGCTTCTTAACCTTCTCGTGAATGATAGGAACTCCAAGATATTTTCCAAGGTTACCGATGAGAGAAACTCCAAGATCATCACTAATTTTTAAAGCTCTATTGAAATTGACATTTCTAAAGTAGAAAAGTTTGGATTTGCCATTGTTGATCTTTTGACCAGAAGCTTTACAAAAATCAGAAAGATATTGAAGAATGATTTGCGATTGAGAAAGAGATAATTTTGCAAAAAGCAACAAATCATCAATAAAAAATAAGTGAAAAATAGGAGGCTCATTAGATGTTAGTCTAATAGGTTTTCATTCATTTTTTTAATACTATTAAGAATGCAGAGACTCGGACGTTCAATACAAAGGAAAAAAAGATAGGGAGATAGAGGATCCCCCTAACGAATGCCACAAAAAGGACTGAACTCTTTAGTTAGTTCACCATTCTAAAGAATTTTCATACGAGTAGTGGAGATAGCAGCCAGACTTAATTTCTTAAAGTGATTATTTATCCTAATGGAGATGAGAGTATCCTCGATGAAATTCCATTATAGTCTATCAAAAGCCTTTTCGAGGTCTACCTTAAGTGCCATAAATCCTTTTTTTCTTGTTTTCTTCCTCATAAAATGTATGACTTCTTGAACAATAATAATATTATCACTACTTTACTGTCCCTGAATGAACCTACTTTGATAATCACCAATTAAATGATTCATGCCATGCAATCTTGTGGATAGAATTGTGTTGATAATTTTATAGATAACATTATAGAGTGAAGTAGGCCAAAAGTCTTTCATACAAGTACGGTGATCAATTTTAGGGATCAAGGTAATGAAAGTGTCATTAATCTCCCTTATATAATCCAATTCTCTAAAAGCCTTTTTGAGCTGATCAAAGATGCTATCTTTAAGATCATTCTAATAAGAATGAATGAATCCAGCATTGATAATATTGAGGCTAAGGGCTTTGAATGCCTCAATATTAAAGACAACATTTTTAATTTCTTCTTCAGTCACATCCCTATGTAAGGATTGAAATTGATTGGAAGAAAGAGGTGGAAAGCAAGTAGTTGTAGAGAGTTTAGGCCTAATATCATTATCTTCCTTAAAAAGGTCTTCAAAGAAGGAAACAACCATGTCCTTTAGAATATTTTAGTCTTCCACCTAGTTGTCATCATCATTTTTAAGAGATAAGATCTGATTTCTTTTCTTTCTAATGATAGATGTACCAGGGAAGAATTTTGTATTCTGATCTCCCTATTTAAGTCATTTACATCTAGACTTCTGAAACCAAATCATTTCTTCTTGCAAAATAACTTTGTTATAGTCTTCCCAAAGAGATTTTTCCAATTTTCATAGGAAGTAATCATCTTTGTAGCTTTTATTCTTATCAATTCCTTCTAATCTCCTTAAAATTCTTTTCTTCTTGGAAGTAATATTGCCAATTTTTTCCTTATTCCAAGTAGTACCCGAATTGGAAAAATTAGTAGCTTCCTCTATCTAGTTATTATTGATCCATGAGTCTTTGAATATAGGATGGAAGGATTCCTCAAGCATCTAAGCATCATGACAATAGAAGGGTTTAGACTGATTATTTTAAGGAGACTCTTTGAACAATTGAATTCTAATTAGGCAATGATTAGAACCATATCTAAGCAAATATAAGGAAATTGCTTGGTGAAATTTGAGTCTCCAATCTATATTGGAAAAAGCCCAATCAATCCATTCTTTCACATTACC